ATTGTTCTCTGAACAATTGGTTTTTAATTAGGTCTTTCCACTTTTCTGTGGAAAGACCTATTGTATTTGTTCTGATTATTAGGTCTTTCCACTTTTCTGTGGAAAGACCTATTGTATTTGTTCTGATTATTATTAATAGGTCTTTCCACTTTTCGGTGGAAAGACCTATTGTATTTGTTCTGATTATTATTAGGTCTTTCCACTTTTCTGTGGAAAGACCTATTGGGTTTCTTCTGATTATTTTTTTTTTCTTCCGCCAAATTTTGTTCTTGCGATAAATTTTTGTTTCGCAAGATGTCGCTTAGATGTTTCGTATATGATATCGAACAGTTTATGCGCCTTTGAAATTGACCCTGCTGAACCGAATACTTTTTGTAGGAGTTATCTCCCCGAACACTGTTTTTCTTGTGTGTGCATCTCCTCCGTAACAGTAAAAGAAAGCGACAAATTTATTTTAACAAATTGCTCGTTATATCCTCAGGATGTTTTGTCCAATTTTGACCGAAGCGATACGTAAACTCCATATGAGAGTTATTTCCCCTTCTGTATTTGACATTAGGGATATATAAATGTATAGCATGAATGGTAAGTGATAGAGACCTAAAGTATATTGATTTGAGTTCCTTGGTTCATTTGAATGAAATTGAGGCCAAGGTCAAAGGTCAAGGTCATATTCTAAATTTTTACTTTTCCTTGTTATTTGATCTCCTCTGTCACTTTTAAAATTACAAATTAAAGAACTAGTGCAAAATGTTTGCTTAAGTGTGATTAAGATATGATACATTTGGCCTGAAACAGTCCAATGATATCTTTTAGGAGTTATTGTCCCTGAAATGATTAAATTTAAGGTTAATTGATTATTATTGCAACTTGGTACATGATAAAGCCATAGGGTCTTTTGCAACTGTTGGTTGACATATGACCTTGAAAAAAGTAAACCGGAAGTTACCTTGAGTGAACCGGAAGTAGTATTTTTTGCACTTTTTCATGGAAAAGTACCTAGAAACCATATATTTTTTGAATGATCATAGGTTAACCTATCATTTGAGACCGGAAGTGACATTTTATAATCCGGAAGTAGCATATTATCTTCCTTATTACAGGCATAAGTATATACAAACTATATATTTTTGGAATCAGTGTGAATAAAGCTATCATATGAGACCGGAAGTGACATTTTCTAAACCGGAAGTTGGCAATTATCTCCCTTATTTCAGGCAAAAGTATATAGAAACCATTTATTTATTGAATCAGTATGAAGAAATCTACTTTGACGCTATTAATAAATTTGGGTAAACCAGAAGTAGCTTCCTATTAATTATTTAGAAAATTGATGTGGAAAGACCTTCAATTGTTCTTTGATTCTAATTTTTTTTTTCGCCAAATTTTGTTCTTGCGATAAATATTTGTTTCGCAATATGTCGCTTAGATATTTCTTACATTGTATCGTACAGTGTATACGCTTTTAAACTTCACCCTGCTTAGCCGAACAATTTTCTTTGTACGAGTTATCTCCCTATTCACTGTTTATTAAGTGTGTGCATCTCCTTTGTAAGAAAAAAAGATATCGACAAAATTCTTTTTCTAAATTGTTCGTTACATTCCAGGAATTTTTGGCTAATTTGGATTGAAGCGATTCGATGAAATTTTATAGGAGTTATCTACCTTTACCAAATAAATTTGTCGGTATGTTTTTTTAACTCATAAACCGTTAACCGTATAACCCTGGAATGTTTTTATTTGAGGCCCCTAGGTCCTAACTTAGAAAATGAAGTCAAGGTCAAAGGTCAAGGTCAAGTTCTCAATTTTGATATTTCCTTGTTTTGTGCACTTTCTTCAACACTTTTAAATATATCTGCAAAAAAACAAGTGCAAAATGTTTGCTTTATTGTAATGAAGATATGTTATATCTGGTCTGAAACAATCTAATGGCATCTAATAGGAGTTAGTGCCCCTGAAATGTCCAATTATAAGGTTAATTGATTATTACTCCAACATGGTTCATTATAAAGCCATATCACCTTTTACAAAAGGTTTGGTGACATTTGACCTTGAAAAATGACAACCGGAAGTGACCTTGAGAAAACCGGAAGTAGGCATTTTTTGCACTTTTTTCATGGAAAAGTACTAGAAATCCATATATTTTGTAAATTAAATACATTTACTTATCACTAAAGACAAGAAGTGACTTTCGATAAACCGGAAGTGGCCAATTATCTCCTGTTTCACATGCAAAATTATATAGAAACTATATATTTTTGGAATCAGTGTAAAAAAGGCTATCAAATGAGACCGGGAGTGACGTTTACTTCACCGGAAGTAGCACATTATCTCCCTTATTTCACTCAAAAGTATATAGAAACAATTCATTTATCGCATCAGTTTGAAGAAACTTATGATTGGATACCAATTTTAACTTTGAGTAAACCGGAACTAGCTTCTTTTCAATAACTTTGAAAATTGATGTGTAAAGACCTTCAATTGTTCTCTGAACAATTGGTTTATAATTTTTTTTTTTTCTTCCGCCAAATTTTCTTCTTGCGATAAATATTTGTTTCGCAATATGTCTCTTAGATATTTCTTACATTGTATCGTACAGTGTAAGCGCTTTTAAATTTCACCCTGCTAAGCCGAACAATTATCTTTTCCTTGAGAAATCCGGAAGTAGCCATTTTTGCACTTTTTTCATGGAAAAGAACTAGAAATCTATATATTTTGTAATTTAAATACGTTAACTTATCACTAAAGTCAAGAAGTAACTTTTGATAAACCGGCACTGGCCAATTATCTACTTGTTTACAGGCAAAAGTATATATAAACTATACATTTTTGGAATCAGTGTAAAAGAAGCTTTCATATGAGACCGGAAGTGACGTTTACTTCACCGGAAGTAGCTAATTATCTTACTTATTTCACTCAAAAGTAAATAGAAACCACTTATTTATCGTATCAGTATGAAGAAACTTATGAATGGATGCCAATTTTAACTTTGAGTAAACAGGAACTAGCTTATTTTCAATAACTTTGAAAATTGATGTGGAAAGACCTTCAATTGTTCTCTGAACAATTGATTTTTAATTAGGTCTTTCCACTTTTCCGTGGAAAGACCTATTGGTTTTGTTCTGAGATTTTATTTTTTTCTTCCGCCACATTTTGTTCTTGTGTAGTATTGTGGTTTTGCAAGATGTTGCTTAGATTTTTCGCATATGATATCGAACAGTTATTGCGCTTTTGGAACTGACCCTGTTAAACCGTACACATTACGTTGTAAGAGTTATCTCCCCGAACACTGTTTTTCTTGTGTCCACTACTCCTTCGCAACCGTAAAAGATTACGACAAATTTATTTTACCAAAGTGCTTCCTATATCTTCAAGATGATGAGTCGGTTTGCACCAAAGTTCTCCGGAGTCTCCATATGAGAGTTATTTCCCCTTATGCATTTGATATAAGTGATATGCATATAAACTCATAAACCGTAAGCCGTATAAACCTAGAGTCGTTTTATTGAAGGTCCTTGGGTCCCAACTTAGAAAATAAGGTCAAGGTCAAAGGTCAAGGTCATGTTCTAAATTTTGACATTCACTTCAAACTCCTTTTACTCAGAAAAAAAGCTAGGGGTAAAATTGAAAAAAATGTGAGCATTATGTTAGTCGCGACATTATTTATGTCGTGAATATTTGTCGAAATAATACGCGTAGTATTTTAGGGGTTTTCATACCACTGAAATGGAAAAATCAACAAATTGACTAATTATAGCTTCAAACTTTACAGCTCTCATGATGTGTACATGCAATTTATCTTTGTAAATCATCCAATGCCCACAACTACCCATTTAGCCCCCCCCCCCCCCATTTTTGTTAGGAATCCCATTTCTATTTTATTATAAAAATGCTAATCCTTCTTTTTTCATGAATAAATTTCTTTCTGAAATACAAAAATACAAATCTATTCTTGCAAAATAAAATATCTGCTCCAAATCATGTACATGTACACTGTATTTCTGAAAATTAATCGATAAACGTTTTGTTAAAGTACTATAACACCAGCATTTTTTTTGTGTGCATGCAATGAATGAGTCGATCAGTGGTCAGCGATTGGACAATAGTTTACCTGTAAAAAAATTCGAAAAAATATATTTTCCGTTTGCAGTATAAATCACGTGCAGTCCGCTTAACGTTCCAATCTGGATTGAGAAATTAAAATCAATTAAGTAGAATTCCCTCCAAAATTCGTAAATAGTAGTAAAATCCTAGAATCAAATGTCTAAACATGCATTAAAATGAAATCTGTGCTCCCGTAAATATGTGTACGAAAAAAGCATGCATGATCAGACTTCAATGACCTGTAAACGAAAGAAAATTAAATCCGTTTGCACATTCTTTATACATAGGTGTGGTCAGAACGACGTCTCTCTCTGCAACTAAATTATATAAACTGTCTTTCTGTGTATATCAATCAGCTTGGTGACGTCACAATCATGTCAACCATCCGGTGCAACGCCTGCTACCCTAAAAAAAATAGGGGTTTCCCCCTTTTCGGAAAGAATTAATCACATAGGTTAAATACAAAAGATCCATGCAGGTCAGGTCGGGCCATTTTAAATACAAAATTGAATACAATGCACACACAATAAGACCAATAAGTAAAAAAATAAGACACAAATTCCGGGAAGCACTATAAAAAAAAAACGTTTATAAAGGAAGATGCAAGGATATTTTTGAAGGCCTGTTTAAATTCTTGCATGTTCCTACAAATATCATAACTTGAATATAACTAAAATGTTGCACGGACCCGTTTTCGTGTGCTCCTAGAGCCTAGGTCTCAAGTGTTTGAACACGGGCACTAGGCTCTCAATGCCTTGTTCACGTGTTTCTAGAGGCTAGGTCTCAAGTGTTTAAACACGGGCACTAGGCTCTCAATGCCTTTATCACGTGTTCCTAGAGGCTAGGTCTTAAGTGTTTAAACACGGGCACTAGGCTCTCAATACCTTTTACACGTGTTCCTAGAGGCTAGGTCTCAAGTGTTTAAACACGGGCACTAGGCTCTCAATGCCTTTTTCACGTGTTCCTAGAGGCTAGGTCTCGAGTGTTTAAACACGGGCACTAGGCTCTCAATACCTTTTTCACGTGTTCCTAGAGGCTAGGTCTCCAGTGTTTAAACACGGGCACTAGGCTCTCAATGCCTTTTTCACGTGTTCCTAGAGGCTAGGTCTCGAGTGTTTAAACACGGGCACTAGGCTCTCAATGCCTTTATCACGTGTTCCTAGAGGCTAGGTCTCCAGTGTTAATACACGGGCACTAGGCTCTCAATGCCTTTTTCACGTGTTCCTAGAGGCTAGGTCTCGAGTGTTTAAACACGGGCACTAGGCTCTCAATGCCTTTTTCACGTGTTCCTAGAGGCTAGGTCTCGAGTGTTTAAACACGGGCACTAGGCTCTCAATGCCTTTTTCACGTGTTCCTAGAGGCTAAGTCTCAAGTGTTTAAACATGTTCCTAGAGGCTAAGTCTCAAGTGTTTAAACACGGGCACTAGGCTCTCAATGCCTTCATCACGTGTTCCTAGATGCTAGGTCTCAAGTGTTTAAACACGGGCACTAGGCTCTCAATGCCTTTTTCACGTGTTCCTAGAGGCTAGGTCTCGAGTGTTTAAACACGGGCACTAGGCTCTCAATGCCTTTATCACGTGTTCCTAGAGGCTAGGTCTCGAGTGTTTAAACACGGGCACTAGGCTCTCAATGCCTATTTTCACGTGTTCCTAGAGGCTAGGTCTCAAGTGTTTAAACACGAGCACTAGGCTCTAAATGCCTTTTTCACGTGTTCCTTGAGGCTAGGTCTCGAGTGTTTAAACACAAGCACTAGGCTCTCAATGCCTTTTTCACGTGTTCCGTGTTTAAACACGGGCACTAGACTCTCAATTCCCTTTTTGCGTTGTCTTAATGGATTGTCCCCATGTGTTTAACCAACCAACCAAACCACCTACCTACCAACCAACCAACCATTACATGCTTGCTGTGGTCCCTTGTGTTTAATACAGGTACAAGATCTCATTTGTTTCGTGTTTGCTTGTTTCAAGCGACCCTATCCTACGTGTGTAATCAATCAATCAATCAATCAATCAATCAATCAATCAATCATGTTTCGGAGGGGAAAGACCGTTAACAATTGTTTTTAAAACAATTGATTTATATTTCTGATTATTAGGTCTTTCCACTTTTCTGTGGAAAGACCTATTGTATTTGTTCTGATTATTATTATTATTATTATTATTTTTTTTTTTTTTCCGCCAACTTTTGAAATTTTTGTTTCGCAATATGTCGCTTAGATATTTCTCATATTGTATCGTACAGTGTATGCGCTTTTAAATTTCATCCTGCTAAGCAGAACAATTTTCTTTGTAAGAGTTATCTCCCCATTCACTGTTTGTTATGTGTGTGCATCTCCTTCGTAACAAAAAAAGATAACGACAATTTTTTTTTTTGAATTGTTCGTTACTTCCTTAGGAATTTTTGGCTAATTTGGATCGAAGCGATCCAGTGAAATCTTGTAGGAGTTGTCTACCTTAACCAAAAAAATTTGTCGTAATATTTTTGAAACTCATGAACCGTAAGCCGTAAAAACCTAGAGTCGTTTTAGTTGAGGTCCTTGGGTCCCAACTTAGAAAATGAGGTCAAGGTCAAAAGTCAAGGTTATGTTCTAAATTTTGACATTCACTTCATGCTGCTTTTACTCAGAATAAAGTAAGAGGTATCGACAAAAAAAAATTGATCAAACTGTTAGTCGCGACATGATTTAACTGGAGAATTTTTGTCGAAATAGAACGCGTCATTTTTTTGCGGGTTCCATGCCACTGAAATGGAAAAATGAACAAATTAACTAATTATAGCTTCAAACTCTACAGCTATCATGATGCGTACATGCAATTTATCTTTATTAATCATCCAAGGTCCACCACCACCCTTTTTTTTAGGAATCCCATTTCTATTTTACTATAAAAGTGTTAATCCTTCTTTTTTTACTTGTTTGTGAATAAACTTCTTTCTGATATACAAATCCATCCCTGCAAAAATCTGCTCCAATTCATGTATTTTGTGAAATTAATCGATAAACGTTTTGTTAAAGTACTTTGTACGACTTTGCCCCCAGCAGAGCTATAGAAAAACAGTACATTAACGGGTGTTACACGGACACTTTTTAGATGATACACGGACACTTTTTAGTTGTTACACGGACACTTTTTATGAATACAATCACTCGTGCATGATCAGTGAGTTCATGGGCACTTTAGATTTCAATTAGATTTGAACTTTTTGTTTCACCGACATATTTCCTGTCTTTTTAATTGAAAATATGTACGTTAGCATCAATAACTATATTTTTTTCAAACAATTCCAGTAACTATTCATATTAGTACACTAAGGGGTTGACCATCTTACTTCAAAAGGCCGGTTATGGTTTTTCCTAAAAAAAAAACATTTTGATCCCCAATTTTATGAGAAAAAATATATTATGGTCAAGCAGATGACACTGAAAATAATGTTCTGACTCAAGATTTTCCGAATACCGTATTATAATAGTGCTGATTTCGAAAAAAAAATATTTGGGCGATAGCGTTGAAAAACTAAATAATTTTCTTACTCAGAAAAGAACACCCCCCCCCCCTTTTGAAGCTAAATGGTCGGTCCGTAAATGTATTTTTTTTCAATATATGGACATGAATAGTATTCTGGACAATGCTGAAAGAAATGCTGGTACCAACGTTTATATTTCAATAAAAAGACAGGAAATATATATATATAAATCAAATCTAATCAAAAGATAAAATCCCTATCAACTCACCAATGCACGATTGATTCTATAAATAAAAAGTGTCCGTGTAATACATGTTCAATTATGCAGCAAATCGTGAAGAAAATCATTCAACTTATGTCATCAATTTTGGACGGTAAGCTCTGATTGGATCATATAGTGACACGTGTTTAATCCTGATCAACACTATCAGAGACATATAAAAACCTATAAGCATGAACATTTTTTTTGAATCCAAAACATATGTCTATATATATATATATATATATATATATAATAACAAGACATTGTTTATTTTAAATTTATTTTAACCCCCTCCCCCCCCCCCCTTTCCCCCCAATAAAATCAAATGGTTACCGTAGCTTGCTTACCTCTGAAATCTTTTTTATACATTACTTACTTGCGAAGTTGCATTTCAAAAAGTCTCAAATGTGTATAACATTCACCTTTAACTTGAAATGGTTCTTTTTATAAAGTTATAAGATTCTTGAATTTTTTGAGAAAAAACTCTCGGCTGAAGGGAAGTGAGAAAAAAAAATTGAGTTTAAACTGTAACTTACATCAACTGGTATATGGCCATTTAAGTTTCTAATATCTTTAGTTTTGCTACCTCTTCTAAATGTAAAATGTACTTCTTCCTTCTTGAAACGTCGTACAAGTCAGATACAAAACAAAGGTAACAAAAAACAGGCCGGAAACAACCTGCCGTATAGTTTATCTGCACTCGTAGGCTATCGCCTCGGACCTTGACCTGACTACTCGTGCAGAAAAACTATCCGGCAACGGTTGTTACCGGCCTGTTTCTTTGTTACCTTTGTATTGTATCTAATACATAGCAACATCATTATTTTTGTGTGCATGCAATGAATGAAGACACGTGGTCAGCGATTGGACAATAGTTCACCTGAAACATGAATCAAGAAAATATCTCATCCCGTTAGCATTTTAAATCACGTGCGGTCCGCTTGACGCCCTGATCTGGATTGAGATATTAAAATCAATGACGTAGAAATCGCTTCAAAATTCGTTAATATTAGTGAAATCCTACAATCAAATTTCTAAACATGCATTAAAATACAATTCTGTGCTCCCTTAAATATGTGTACGAAAAAAGCATGCATGATCCGACATCAATGACCTGTAAAAGAAAGAAAATTAAATCCGTTAGCACAATCTTAATACACAGGTCTGGTCTTGACGACGTCCTCCTCTGCAAAGAAATATTATTGTGTATATCAGCTTAGTGAAGTCACAATCACACCATTTGCAGCGCGTGTTATCTAAAATAAAAAAAAGGGGTTTTCCCCTTTTCGAAAAGAATTTAAATGTGCACGTAGATTAAAAACAAAAGATCCATGCAGGTCAGGTTCAATTTCCTTTAAATACAAAATTGAACACAATGCACACACAATAAGTAAATAAGACACAAATTCCGGGAAGCCTTATGAAAAAAAAAATAACATTTATAAAGGAAGATGCAAGGATATTTTTGTAGGAGTGTTTAAATCCTTGCATGTTCCTACAAATATCATAATTAAAATTAAAATAAACATGTTGCACGGACCCGTTTTCGTGTGTTCCTAGAGGCTATGTTCCAAGTGCTAAAAACATGGCAACTAGGCTCTCAATTCCTTTTTTGCGTGTTCCTAGAGGCTAGGTCCCAAGTGTTTAAACACAGGAACTAGGCTATCAATTAATATTTCGCATGTTCCTAGAGGCTAGGTTCCAAGTGTTTAAACAAGGGAACTAGGCTATCAATACCTTTCACAAGTGTTCCTAGAGGCTAGGTCCCAAGTGTTTAAACACGGGAACTAGGCTATCAATAACTTTTACACGTGTTCCTAGAGGCTAGGTCCCAGGTGATTAAATACGGTAGCTAGGCTATCAATTCCTTTTTCGCGTGTTCCTAGAGGCTAGGTCCAAAGTGTTTAAACACGGGAACTAGGCTATCAATAACTTTTACACGTGTTCCTAGAGGCTAGGTCCCAGGTGTTTAAATACGGGAACTAGGCTCTCAATACCTTTCTAGCGTGTTCCTAGAGGCTAGATCCCATATTTTTAAATATGGAATGTAGGCTTTCAATTCCGTTTTTGCATGTTCCTAGTGGCTCGGACCCATGTGTTCAACCAAACAACCAACCAACCAACCGACACACCAACCAACCAATCAATCAATCAATCAATCAATCAATCAATCAATCAATCAATCAATCATTGCATACATGTTTCGGTCCCATGTGTTTAATACGGGGTCCAAGATCTCATTTGTTTCTTTTTCGCCTGTTCCTAGAGATCCTATCCCATGTGTTTAATTAGGCAATCAATCAATCAATCAATCAATCAATCAATCAATCAATCAATCAATCAATCAACCAATCAATCAATCAATCAATCAATCAATCAATCAATCAATCAATCATATTTCGGAGGGGAAAGACCGTTAACAATTGTTTTTAAAATTTATAATGTAAATGTGCACTTTTAACTTTTAACTTCTTATACATTATGTATATCATAAAATGTCTCACTGGCACACATCCATCCCTTTTTGGGGTCTTCTCTCCAATTATTAGGTCTTTCAACTTTTCTGTGGAAAGACCTATTGTATTTGTTCTGATTATTTTTATTAGATTTTTCCACTTTTCTGTGGAAAGACCTATTGTATTTGTTCTGATTATTAGGTCTTTCACTTTTCTGTGGAAAGACCTATTGTATTTGTTCTGATTATTATTAGGTCTTTCCACTTTTCTGTGGAAAGATCTATTGTATTTGTTCTGATTATTATTATTATTTTTTTTTTTTCCGCCTAATTTTGTTCTTGCGATAAATATTTGTTTCGCAATATGTCGCTTAGATATTTCTTATAATGTATCGTATAGTTTATGCGCTTTAAAATTTCACCCTGCTAAGACGAACAATTTTCTTTGTAAGAGTTATCTCCCTATTCACTGTTTATCAAGTGTGTGCATCTCCTTCCTTA